TTCCTGCTGTGGATTCCACACTCCCACCAACAGTAGATGAGAAAAACTGGCACAGAGCTAACTCACGCCATAGGGAAGGACATGAGCATGCAGCTACAGAAACGTAGAAGTAAGAAGAATTGAGTATATTGCCAAATCACTAAAAATCAAAGCACAGCCTCAAGAAATAAGAGAAAATTAGGAAATACCTCCCCCTCTCCCACAAGGGAACATAATAACTCCTCATCAACAATGAATAAAGTACAGAGATCTCTGAAATGTCAGAAAAGAGGGTCAGCAGGTGGTCTGGTAGTTAAGATGCTGGACTTCCACATGGGCAACTGTGGTTCAAGTCCTGGATATGAATGCTCGGAAATCATGTCAGGTGCATAGGTGTACATGCCCAAACTCCCACAGGGAGAAGGTAGAAGATGGGTTGCAGCATGACCATCCTCTTGGGGGGTGATTTCTTACTTTCCCTTTCACTATCTCTCTCTCGTAAGTGCACACCCCTATACCAAATTCTTTTTTAAAAAAATTCAGAAAAAGAATTCAGAATATTAATTGTAATAAAACTCAATTAGGAGACCAGCAGTTAGCGTAACGGCTATGTCACTGTACTCCCATGTAGCTGAGCAAGGTTCGAGTCCCGGACTTGATGGCTTAAACTCACGCCAGGTGCATGTGCGTACGTGCCCAAGATCCCAAGAGGAGAATGGAGAAGGGATTGCGGCATGGCCATCCCCCCTGGGGAATGATTTCTCGCTTTCTGTCTTTCTGTCTCTCTGTCTTTCTGGCTAGCACACGTGTCCTATAGCAAAAACCTCTAAAAAAAAAAAAAAAAACCAATAAGATCCAAGAAAAACAGACAACCAATTCCAGGAGATGAGAAAATCCTTCCATGACTTGAAGGAGGAATTCCATAAAAAAAAATAGATACCCTGTAAAAGAATCAAACAGAACTTCTGGACACAAAGAATATGATGCAGAAAATCAAAAGCTCCCTCAAAAATATCAACAGCAGACTAGAGCACGCAGAATAAAAGAATCTGACCTTGAAGACAAAGCCTCTGATTTAGTCCAAGCAACAGAAAAGAATGTAAGAATAACCATTAAAATTCAGGACAATGCATAGGAAATCCTAGAGACCATTAAATGCCTGATTATCCTCATAATAGGTATCCAGAAGCAAAGAGACAGGCAAAGGCATAGGAAATCTCTTTCATGATATATTAGCTATGGACTTTTCATATTTAGAGAGGCATATGGACATACAAATCCAGGAAATACAAAGGACACCAAATAGATGTAACATAAGAAGATCCTTTTCAGGGCATATCAGACCCAAATTGGTAAAAATAAGAGACAAAGTCAATATTCTAAAAATGACAAGAAAGAAACGCCAAATTACTTCCATAGGTTACCCCATTTAACTAACATTGGGCCTCTCAACTGAAACAACGCAGGCGAGAAAAGAATGGGAAGGTAGATTCAAAATGCTGAAAGAAAACGAATTTCTGCCAAGAGTACTAAACCTGCCAAGATTATTCTTCAGATGGGAAGGAGAAATAAAATCATTCCCAGATAAACTAATGCTGAAAGACTGCCAAAACTAAACCAACTCCTGAGGAAATACTTAAGGGAATACTACACCAAGAAAATTAAAGGGAAATAAATAGAAGCAAGAGAACACAAAACAACTCAGGGGGAAAGAGGATAAGTCCACACATATTGATAATAACACTGAATGTCAGGATTAAATTTCCTTACTAAAAAGCTAAAAATGCAGATTCAACTATTCTACATCCAAGCAGGTTTAAGTACAAATTCACCAATTATTTGACAGACAGTTGTCTCCTATATATATTTATTATAATCACTACTAATTGTATAAAATTAGATAACAGAGGAAAAGCCCAAAATGTTAAATATAGTCAAGTCTTTCTTCAAAATTAGTTTAAGAACATTGTAAAGCCTATACATATTACAAATCACCATTACCATGGCTTTGCTTTTAAACATCCCTTTCCAATTTTGTTTTGTTTATGGTTTTCTGTTTTTGGTTTTTTGGGTTTTTTTTGCTGATTTATTTCTTTAATAGTGCAGTACAATGGTCTTACAAAAATTCACAGTAAATAAAGTATTTATTCTTTTTCTCTCTCTTCTTAATGAGCTATTGTTATGTACAATTTTACCCATCTTTATCTGGGTCAATGATTAATACCACCAATCTTTTTAGATTATAAATTCCTATCTCCCACAGTCATGGAAATGACAAATGCTTCTTTTGTTGACTATGTTAAAATTATCTTTGCTTTAAAAAATTCACCCTCATTAATTTATGAGATTTTTTTGTTGTCTGACTTTTTTTTTTTTGGAGAGGTTTTCGCTATAGGGCACGTGCGCTCGCCAGACAGACAGAGACATAGAGACAGAAAGCAAGAAATCACCCCCCAGGGGGGATGGTCACGCCGCAATCCCTTCTCCTCCATTCTCCTCTCGGGATCTTGGGCACTCATGCACGCGCGCCCGGCCTGAGATTTAAACCACCGGGTCCGAGACGCGAACCGCGGTCCACTACGTGGGAGTCCAGCGACATAGCCATTACGCTAACTGCTGGTTCCCATGTTGTCTGATTTTTTTAAAGCTGCATCAGAGTAGAATCTTCTTACATTCGACCAAAAGTCATTCTAAACCACTTAACACAGCAAGCAACAGGTGCCTTAAAAATTAATCTTTAACTTGCAAAGATCAAAATGGAGCAAACCTAAAGTGAAATTCTGAATGTGCAGAAAGGTAACATTGCAGCATTAACTTTATGAGGGCACTTTTCAGTGCAACAACTAATCAATTTATTGTCTTTAGAACTGTATTTCACAGTAAACGGTGTCATAGACAATATAGTATATACTTCCAGAATAACCAATCGAGTGAGTTCAAAATGTTTAATGTTGCAATAGGACACATGCACTCACCAGAGAGAAACAGGGTGGGGGTGGGGGTGGTAATGAGAAAGCAAGCCATTAGGTCCAGGACTCAAACAACACTCAGCCATGTGGGAGTCTAGTGCCTTAACCAACACACCACCTGCTGGCCCCTGTATATGTTTTTAAAGAACTCTCTGGGGACTAGCAGATAGCATAATGGTTTCATCACTATACTACCATGTAGTCAACCACAGTTCAAGTCCCAAACTCAGTGGCTTAAATTCACACTGGGTGCATGTGTGTCTATGCCCAAAATCCTAAGAGAAGCATAGAGGAGAAGGGATCGTAGTATGGCCATTCCCACCCCCACCTAGGGCAGTGTGATTTCTCACTTTCTGTCTCTGTTTTTCTCTATCTCTCTGGTGAGCACATGCACCCTACAGCAAAAATCTCTCTCTCAAAAAAGAAAAGGCCATTTTGTACCCTACAAAGATGTATAATGTTATACGTGAATTATAAATTGCAATAAATAGGAGACCAGCAGGTGGTGTGGTGGTTAAGGGTGTTGCACTCCCACATGGCCAATTGTGGTTCAAGTCCTCATTTTCCCCCTCTGTCTCTCTCACTCTGTCCCTTTCTGGTCAAATTAAAATAAATAAATAATTATGGGACCAGCAGTTGGTGTAATGGCTATGTCGCTGGACTGCCTTATAGTCAATCACAGTTTGAGTCCCAGACCCCGGTGGCTTAAACTTACGTCAGGCTCAAGTGTGTGCATGCCCAAGATCCAGAGAGGAGAATGGAGGAGAAGGGATTTTGGAGTGGCCATCCCCTCTGGGAGTGATTTCTCACTTTCTGTCTTTCTGTCTTTCTCTGTCTCTCTCTGTCTTTCTGACGA